TATTAATATATAACATGATAATCATTTATGTCAACATAATGACATTGCCCCCCAATTGTACACATTGGACGCCCTATATCTCAAAAACACCCCCTTCAAACGCCTGATCACCATCCAGATTCGGAATCTACGCAAAAAACTAGTCTAGAAAAACTTGGTCTCATAAATTCACAGCTCGGGTGGCGTTTCCCCCCCTTCAGCCACTTGACTAAAGCATCGATAGAATAACATGCGATCGCGAATCTAGGGCATAAACAATGTCACTGTGAACTCGTAGTAGTGCGGTTTCACAACTATGGTTAGGTCGATATGCACTTTGACACTTAGAATATAACGAATTGTCACTGAGATAATTTCGTAAGCTGACCATAACAATTTTTTCAAGGATTTTTAACACAAAAGGCAAGTTTGACACTGGTCGATAATTCTTAAGAATGTCTGGATCCAAACCTGTCTTTTTAAGAAGCGGTCTCACTATGGCAGTTTTAAAAGTATCAGGCACGACTCCTGTCAACAAGGATTCATTTATCAGGTCTGTAATGAAAGGTGCTAGGATATTCACATGCTTTTTCAACAGTTCTGTAGGCATTGGATCCAGTTCACAGGATTTGGAAGGCGCTGCTAAGATCAACTTTCTCACTTCTTCTAAAGGGGCTGGCTTGAAGACTTCCAATCTTGAGTGACAGCTTTCCTTCTGTAATTCACTGGAGGTACTTGAAGCAAACTTTTCACATAGTTTGTCGATCTTTTCGATAAAGAAGTCTGAAAGCATTTCTGCAGCGGCCTGTTCCGATGATGCTGTGCTCGGAAAGATATTGCTGACAGTACTTTTTTTACCAATTAGTTTCTCACAAATCTTGAGAGTCCTTTCGAGTCTGCTTCTTGAATCTGATTTTGGTGGTATTCCACTCTGGTTTGTTCGAGAAGGTTGTTGTATTTCTTCCTTTCGGCTTTGAAAATCTGTTTGTCAAACTCGCAAGCATGGGATAATTTGCTTGGCAGCTGACAGATATGGAGTGAACCAAGGAGCTTTGGGTTTAACTGTTATAGTCGTTGTTGAAAGCGGTGCTAATTTATCCAGGGCAGTCTTGATCTGCCATACAACCGGAATAGGGTTTCATTGGATTATGGTCAAAGTCTACAAGTTATCTGCATTTAATGGTTTTCTTTTGATTAGCTGGTCTAGTAATGTTAAGGTTCATGAAAATTTCACTGTGGTCTGAAGGTAACTCATTTCCAATGTTAATGTGGCTAATGATATCATCTGAATCCCTTGTCAGCAGTAAATCTAGCATATGACCCTTGTCATGCGTAGCTTGCTTAATGTGCTGAATAAGCCCAAAAGAGGTAACTAGGTTCATGAATTTCAGTGCTTCGGGTTTAGACGATTCACAATGCACATTGAAGTCTCCTCCAATCAATCGGTGGCCTGGCCAGGAGATAGAGACTTCTAAAAGTGATCTAAATTCAGGTAAAGTCTTCAATTATGCACTTGTTTTTTGACGAATAAGGTGGCCTGTACACAATCAAAACATTGAATAACTCACTCTTGGTTATGATGATATCTTCAAGGTATTGGAAAGATTTGAATTTTACTACCCTCATGCGGCTATCTTGGTGCTACATTTTCAAACAGTCATAACTCGCCAAGAATAAAGTAATTTGTATGAAATTTTCAATATATTCATTTTACATTATCTGTTTTTGAACTATTACAGCCAGAACGGATAGCTCTTCATCTAATCTCACAAAATGCATCTTTAAACTTTAAGCCAATCTTTCTGTAAAGCGTGTTTGATAGAAAAGATCTGGGTTAGTTTCGATATTTGCGCAAATTAGACCGTAACTTTCTGGATTATGGCCCCTGATTGTTTGAAAAATCATGTTTTTAGCCAGTTGGCTCTCTAGAGGTCACAATTTTTATTTTTGATTTTAAAAATCGTTCAAATATATCACCGTTACATCGTAATGACGGTTGAGTTCAAATTTATGTAAATTGTACTGAAACTTCCTGTGTTAAAGCATGTAATAGCAAGGTTGTTGACCCTCTAGAGGTCACAATTTTTATTATACGCCCACAATTTTTATTATACTGCCAAAGTTATGGCCCTTGATCATTTTGAAAAATCTTGTGAAGCTCTAGAGGCTAAAATTATCATCCGATCGACTTCAGATTGATACACAGAGTTTAAGGTCTTGAGACGAACAAGTATATTAATTTTCAATGAATTTTTATGACAGGAACAGCTAAATCCATGATGTTAAAAGTTTCATATACTAAACGTTAGCATGGGGCAGAACTTTATAAAAACCAAACAAATTCTAATGGTTTTCCAATAATTACTTAATGACTTGTTACTCTTAATCAGATTTTAATGTATTATAAATGTTTCATTACCGAAAAAAGTACAAATATGCGACAACTCTTGTTGACTGCCCGGACGATTTAGCTGCTGTGGGGTATGTTTCATTGCCTGGCAGCCTATCTTCTGATTTTGATGGAACTTAAAATATATGTTAATATCCGAAAGATCTTGGTTCTTTTTATACGCCCACATTGAAATGTGGTCGTATATTGTCGTCGCCCCCGTCCGTCTGGCGGTCCGGCATCCACAATTGCTTGTGGACGCTCTACAGGCTAAAGTTAATATCCAATTGACTTTAAATTTGTATACAGTGTTCAAGGCCATAAGACGAAGAATCCTATTGATTTTCAGTAATTTCTGATAATTACTGCCAGAGTTATGGCCCTTGATCACTTTGAAATATCTTGTGGACGCTCTAGAGCCTAAAGTTAATATCCGATTGACTTTAGATTTATATACAGTGTTTAACTTCATGAGACTAAGAAGCCTATTGATTTTCAACGATTTCCGACAATTACTGCCAGAGTTATGGCACTTGATCTCTTTGAAAAATCTTTGTGGACGCTCTAAAGGCTGAAGCTAATATCCGAATGACTTTAAATTTATACACAGTGTTTAAGGTGATGATTAAGAAGCCCATTGATTTTGAAACAATATCCGATAATTACTGCCAGAGTTATGGCCCTTGATCACTTTGAAATATCTTGTGGATGTTCTAGAGGCTAAGTTAATATCCGATTGACTTTAAATTTATACAAGGTGCTTAAGTTCGTGAGACGAAAAAGCCCAGTGATTTTCAGTGATTCCCGATAATTACTACCAGAGTTATGACCCTTGATCACTTTGAAAAATCTTATGTACTCAATAGAGGCTAAAGTTAATATCTGATTGACTTCAAATTTATACACAGTGTTTAAGGTCATGAGACGAAGTAGCCTATTGATTTTCAACGATATCTGATAATTACTGCCAGAGTTATGGCCCTTGATCACTTTGAAATATCTTGTGGGTGCTCTAGAGGCTAAAGTTAATATCCGATTTACATCAGATCTATACACAGTGTTTAAGGTCGTGAGACGAAGAAGCCCAGTGATTTTCAATGATTTCCAATAATTACTACCAGAGTTATGGCCTTTGATCACTTTGAAAAATCTTGTGAACGCTCTAGAGGCCAAATTTATCATCTGATTGACTTTAGATTGATACACAGAGTTTATGGTCTTAAGACAAACAAGTATATTGATTTTCAATGAATTTTGATAACTTGAACAGCTAAATCCATGATATTAAATGTTTCGTATACTAAACGTTAGCATGGGTCAGAACTAAAAGCCAAACAAATTCTAATTATTTTCTGATACAGTGCACTCTGTCACATCCGACCTCTGATCACTCTGGCACTCTGTGAAATCCGACACCATTTTCTTGTCTCGATTTATTTCCTTATTACTTCAGCCAAAAAATCTCTGGGTAATTCGACCTCTGAATATTCCGGATTACGACATCAATCATCCGTCCCGTCATATGATTTCCATTGAATCGACACCGTATAATCCAGCCTTCAATCGGTAGGTGTGAACCAAACACTCACCGATCAATTATCGGTGAGATTAAAACTCGATGGGTGTGAAGCCACAAAAGATTAACAAGCAATCACCAATCAATTATGTGTGAGATTAAAACTCGCTACCGTGGGTCTTTGTTGATTACTTTGTTAATTTTAATCTCTTGTACGACAGTTGTGACAAATACTCAAGAATATCCACCAATTTTCCCCTGAATTCACAGCCGTAAAAATATTCCTAGCACCTGTTGGAAACATTCGTTGCGCATGCCGATTGTACCTGGATAACCTACGGATCTCTTCGAACCGTGTGACGACGACCTGGGGATGCTCGATTCACAGTAACGTCCCAAATTGACAGAATTGCAATCGAGTGACGCGGAATTCAGTCCTGTCACAGTTCTGTCAGTCCCGACGACGGAGCTGGTGTGAGTAGAATTGTGACGTAATTAAACACGACGAACAGGTTTCGGCTGCATGGTTGGATGAGATATTTATATATCCAGTCGACGCATACGTTGTAGCCCATTTTCACTCGATTGTCACTATTTTTGGGATTGAGAGAATTCAATTCTGGGACGTTCAATCGAGTACGCCCATTATCAATGAACACATGATAGCAAAGACAAGAGTGCGATCAACTGAAGACGGCGAAGAAGATAAATTAACGACAGACTTGACCTATTCAAAATGCCGTAGCATGTCAAATGAAATAAAAATTAATGTAATCAAATTTTGAATGTACAGAAAGGTTTATCTTTTTTAAAGGGAATAACACTCTGGTGATTCGAAGCTACATTATAATAATACTTCCGGTTTTCGAAGTTACAATATTTCCGGTTTTGAGAAAACTGTGTAATCCGACATATTGTAACGATCCCGTGCGATGTTAGATTTGACAGAGTCCACTGTAATTATTTAATGAGTTGTTACTGTATTTTAGTGTATTATAAATGTTTCATTTCCGCCAATAGAAAAAATATGTGACAACTCTTGTTGACTACTCCGACGTTTTAGCTGGTGTGGGCGCATGTTTCATTGCCTGGCAACCTATCTTTGTAATTTATTAGGAAAGTTTAAAGGTAGAAATGTCGAACATGGAAGCAAAATATGATAGTGCTGCTAGAAAATTAGAAGCCGATTTACAGTCACAGATGGAAAAGGAGGTAAAAATTACATTTTTTATACGCCCACATTGAAATGTGGTCGTATATTGTCGTAGCCCCCATCCATCCGTCCGTCCACAAATGCTTGTGGACGCTCTAGAGGCTAAAGTTAATATCTGATTCACTTTAAATTGATACACAGTGTTTAAGGTCATGAGACAAAGAAGTCTATTCATTTTCAGCGATTTTTGATAATTACTACCAGAGTTATAGCCCTTGATAACTTCAAAAAATCTTATGGACGCTCTAGAAGCCAGAGTTAATATTCGATTCACTTTAAATTTATACCCAGTGTTTAAGGTCATGAGACGAAGAAGCCTTTTGATTTTCAACGATTTCCGATTATTACTGCCAGAGTTATTGCCCTTGATCACTTTGAAAAATCTTGTGGACGCTCTAGATGCTGAAGTTAATATCCGATTAACTTTAAATTTATACACAGTGTTTAAGGTCATGAGACGAAGAAGTCTATTTATTTTCAGCGATTTTCGATAATTACTGCCAGAGTTATGTCCCTTGATCACTTCAAAAAATGTTGTAAATGCTCTAGAGGCTAATATCCGATTGAGGTTTGAGGTCATGAGACGAAGAATCATATTGATTTTCAATGATTTCCAATAATTACTGCCAAAGTTATGGCCCTTGATCACAAGAAAAATCTTGTGACGCTCCAGAGGCTAAAGTTATCATCCGATTGACTTCAGATTGATACACAGAGTTTAAGGTCTTGAGACGATCACGTATATTGATTTTCAATGAATTTTTGTGACATGAACAGCTAAATCCATGATGTTAAAAGTTTCGTATACTAAACGTTAGCATGGGGCAGAACTTTATAAAAAACAAACAAATTCTAATGGTTTTCTAATCGGATTTTAATATATTATAAATGTTTCATTACCGAAAAAAGTAAAAATATGTGACAACTCTTGTTGACTGTCCGGACGATTTAGCTGCTGTGGGCGTATGTTTCGTTGCCTGGCAACCTGTCTTTAAGACTTTTAATTTACAAAACATTGATTTGTAATTGTATTTTAAAAATGAATTAGTTGACAAATTTTATTGTTATTTTTAGATATCAGAACAGATAGATGACATCACCGAGAAAATGGAATCAACTGTTACAGAAATCCAGGAGAAACATCGACAACAGGTAATGGAATTACAGAAACGTCAACAAAAAGACCTGGAACAACAATTAAATAAATTTCATGAACAAGTTCTTGAGAAAGAGGAAAAATTACAAAAACAAATTGTTAATGGAGAAAATCAGTAAGTGAACTCTCTTATGCCATTTTAAGACTAACATTAGTAACATTGTAGTTTATTTTGGAATATGATCTTGACCCAGCCAAAGCCATAAAGTAGGTGTCACAGCTCAGTTGCTCACATTGAAGAAAGACGTTTTTATCTGCCCACATTTTCATGTGGACGTATATTGTAGTCGCCCCTGTCTGTCCGTCCACAATTTGTTTGTGGACACTCTACATGTCACAATTTTTATTCAATTGTGACGATACTCAAAATATAGGTCTATGTATTGGCATATATCGGACCATAACTTCATGGATTATGGCCTCTGATTGTACGAAAAATCACGTTTTTAGCTTGTGGACACTCTAACTAAGAGGTCACAATTTTCATCCGATTTTGATGAAAGTTGAAATGCATGTTTATAACCCAAAGTTCTTGGTTTCTTGCGATAACTTCCTGAATTATGGCCCATAATTGTACGAAAAATCACGTTTTTAGTTTGTGGTCACTCTAGAGGTAACAATTTTTACCCGATTTAAAAAACCTTTTGACTATATCACTGTTACACCCTAATGATGGCTGAGTTCGAATTTCACGAAAATCAGACCAAAATAGCTGCCCCTCGTACGCAAATAGTGTAAAAATATGGTATATCAAAATTGTGGACCTTCTAAAGCTGGTGGTCCCTCTAGAGGTCACAATTTTTATACGCCCACATTTTCATGTGGACGTATTATGCCATCGCCCCTGTCCGTCCGGACGTCCGTCCACAATTGTTTGTGGACTCTCTACAGGTCACAATTCTTATCCGATTTCGACGAAACTTGAAATATAGGTTTATCCCCAAAAGATCTCGGCTGCTTTCGATATTGGCATGTATCGGATCGAAACATCATGGATTATGGCCCCTGTTTGTACGAAAAATCGCCGTTCATTCTGGAATAGCATAAGAATATGTTATATCAAGGTTGTGGACCCTATAGAGGTCACAATTTTGATCCGATTTTCTTGAAACTTGAAATGTAAGTTTATAAGCCAAAGATCTCAGTTCCTTTCGATATTCGCGCATATCGGACAGTAACTTCCTGAATTATGGCCCCTGATTGTACGAAAAATCACGTTTTTAGCTTGTGACCCTATAGAAGTCATAATTTTTATCCGATTTAAAAAAACGTTCTATTATATCACCGTTACACCCTAAGGATGACTGAGTTCGAATTTCGTGAAAATCAGCCTAAAATTGATAGACAAAATGGCCGCTGTTCGTTCTCAAATAGAGTAAGAAAATTGTATATCAAGGTTGTGGACCCTATAGAGGTCACAATTTTTATCCGATTTTGTTGAAACTTGAAATGTAAGTTTATAACCCAAAGATCTCAGTTCCTTTCGATATTCGCGCATATCCGACCGTAATTTCCTGAATTATGGCCCCTGATTGTACGAAAAATCGCGTTTTTAGCTTGTGGACCCTATAGAGGTCATAACTTTTATCCGATTTAAAAAAACGTATTATTATATCACCGTTACACCCTAAGGACGACTGAGTTTGAATATCGTGAAAATCGGCCCAAAATTGACAGACAAAATGGCTGCCGTTCATTCTGGAATAGCATAAGAATATGTTATATCAAGGTTGTGGACCCTATAAAGGTCACAATTTTTATCCGATTTTGTTGAAACTTGAAATGTAAGTTTATAACCCAAAGATCTTGGTTCCTTTCGATATTCGCACATATAGGACCGAAACTTCCTGAATTATGGCCCCTGATTGTACGAAAAATTGCGTTTTTAGCTTGTGGATCCTATAGAGGTCATAATTTTTATCCGATTTAAAAAAACGTATTGACAGACAAAATGGCTGCCGTTCGTTCAGTTCCTTTCGATATTTGCGCATATCGAATTGTAATTTCCTGAATTATGGCCCTTGATTGTAGGAAAAATCACTTTCTTGTTAGCTTGTTCTCTATCCATCTCTTGAAAATGTGGGCGTATCCTGCCTGGCAGCCGCTGGTTATCCAATTGAAAAAAAAAGTTTCAATATTTCACCGTTACACCCTAATAACAGCTGAGGTCAAATTTCGTGAAAATCGAACCAAAACTGGTGGACAAAATGGCCGCCCCTTTTATGCAAATAGTGTAAATATACTGAGCGCCATGGAAAACGCATCACTTTTTTTTTCCAAATATTTTATTACTAGGTGGTTTTTTATGTATAATATTATGCAATACTATGAACTATTGTTTCACACAATGCTCCCAAAGGCAAAAAATATCGGCCCGTGTGCACGAAAAAAAATTGCACGAGATGCACATGAAAAACCCAATATTCACGTGCAGCATTGTGTGTGAGCCCTTTAAAAGCATGTTTTCAACTTAATGTGCAGTACATGAACTGTGGAACGTCAATCTGTCGTAATTTGTTGTTGGACGTGTGAAGGAATCGAGCTACAGATGCAGAGACTTACTGAAAATCAACGGAATGAAGCGATTGGAATGTCCCGGGCTGGCATGTCTACACGTGCTATTGCCAGACACTTCAATTGTCATCAGTCCACTATTGTAAGGTTGGTGGAACGTGTTCGAGTTACTGGATCAACACGTGACCGCCAACTTCCTGGTCCACAACGCGTTACAACCCAGGCTCAAGACCGCTACATCCGGGTCACTCATCTTCGTGACAGATTCCGCCCAGCGACTCGAACAGGTGTAGCAGTCGTCGGAAGACAAGGACCAGTAAGTGCCAACACCGTAAGACTTCGTCTAAGAGAAGTAGGACTCCATGCACGACGACCTTATGTTGGAACTATTCTCAAGGATCATCACCGTCAGCGGCGTTTGATATGGGCTCAAGGACACCAGACATGGAGAAGAGTAGACTGGCAAAGTGTGCTCTTCAGTGATGAGAGTCGCTTTCATCTTTATCACGCTGATGGCCGTCAACGTGTGTGGAGACTGCTGCGTCTTCAAAACGAATCGATGGGGTGGGGGGAGTGTAATGGTGTGGGGAGGCTTCACATTTCATCACCGGACCGCCCTACACATTTGCAGGGGTCGCGTTAATGCTGTAGCCTACCGTAATGATGGCCCGTGGAGGACATACGCGCTAGTGACATCTGTGTCGTACTTTTGGTTTTGACCCCTCTGACTTTGTACCGTTGATTACAGATTAAACATCCATAAGTGTACAAATGTGTTGTTATTGATGTGTTCCCATTTGAATATTGTTCACAATAAGAAGCAAAATAAATAAGATATGTTTACAGAATCATTTTGTTATACGAAAAACTAAGTGATGTGTTTTCCATGGCGCTCAGTATATATGGTATCTCAAGGTTGTGGCCCCTCTAAAAGTCAAAATTTTGATCCGATTTTGATGAAACATGTAATATAACTTTATAACCCAATGATCTTGGTTCCTGTCGATATTCATGGATATTGGATTGTAGCTTCCTGAATTATGGCCCTTGATTGTAAGAAAAATCACTCTTTATACGCCCACATTGAAATGTGGTCGTATATTGTCGTCTGTCCGTCCGCCCATCTATCTGTCGGTCCGGCGTCCACAATTGCTTGTGGACGCTCTAGAAGCTAAAGTTAATATTCAATTGACTTTAAATTTATACACGGTGTTTAAAGTCATGAGTCAATAAAGCCCAGTGATTTTCAATGATATCCGATAGTTATTACCTTGATCACTTCAAAAAATCTTGTGGACACACTAGAGGCCAAAGTTAATATCCAATTGACTTTTAATTTATACACAGTGTTTAGGGTCATGAGACGAAGAATCCTATTGATTTTCAACGATATCCAAAAATTACTGCCAAAGTTATAGCCCTTGATCACTTTGAAATATCTTGTGGACGCTCTAGAGACTAAAGTTAATATCCGTTTGACTTCAGATTTATACACAGTCAGTGTTTCCGCTAGCTTTAAAAGTTACTGGTACACCGTACTGGTAGAGGTTAAAAATACCAGTCCACTCGTAATTTTACCAGTCTGATGAAAACAAAATTTTACCGCTAATCAATCTTGTCAATTATATATTCAAATAAATAAACACTTCATTGAAACATATTGTGAAAATAAGCCAGGCGGATCTCGTCATGGATTGGGGGGTTGGATGGCTGAATTGTTAGCGTGCGCGCGCTGTATCATAGTCTGTGATTGAGTCGGCGTGACAAGGAGTAGGGTCGCCTGTCCAACCTCGTGGGTTTTCTCCGAGTCCTCTGGTTTCCTCCCACTGCTAAAGATCCCTATGCGTAAGCGAATTATTGAAATAAAATTAAACCATATGTTAGTCCCGAAATGACCTAGTTTGTGTCGAGTGGACGTTAAACCCCATTTCTCTCTCTCGTCATGGATTGTATTGTAAATCTCGAGAATCGCACTTCTTTGACACTCCATATGAATTCCAGGTAGATATTAAAATAATAATTGGATCATACATTTGATGGTTTCACAGACCAGTTGTTAGTTCGATTTAAATCTTCCCTGAATATAATCCACTGATAGAACACCGAATACTCTGAGAAACAGTCATTAATAATGTATATTTCCGTAAAAATCTCCAATGACACGTGACATCGCTGGAATTAGGTCAATGAATCAGCGACGTTATCTTTAGTTTTAAATACTGTTTAACGTTATGATTTTTTACTTTATACAGATGCTGACAGAAGCTTTATTTTATAAATGTTGTCGTTATTATTAAAGGCTATGACATAGTCAAACAAAATTTTATTTTAAAGCAATTTCAATTGTGGTTGTCACGTGATCTTTGTGTCGTTTGTCTATCATCGTTGAATGAATAAAAACTAAAAGATGACAGACAAAAACTATGGTGCTGTGGTAAACAATTACGCAGAGACATATAGTAAATTTGGCCAACATAAACTCGTCTTTCCTCTGCTGGTACACTACTCACAGGAACTACCAAAGATATAACGATATTTCTTTTGCGTTTGATACATGACATGTATCACCACCTCTGTTAAAGGACGAAAAATTCTTCTGCT